TAGTCATACTCTCAAGGAAAAAAAAAAAAAACGTTTAAGTCCTGTCCAACCAATAGGAAATTCAAAAATAAGAAGCAACAGCTCCCTTAGATAAGAAGGAATCAGCCCAAGAACTCCAACACTACAAAAAAAGTGTCTTCATACCTCTAAAGAATTACACTAGCTCTATAGCAATGGACCCTAACCAATTGAAAACTTTGAAATGACAGATTAAAAAAACAAAATATGTACTGCAAGGAAACTCAGTGAGATCCAAGAGAAATTTAAAATCCATCTCAAATAAACCAGAAAACAGTGCAAGATATGAAACATGAGATAGCCATATTAATATAAAACCAAATAGAACTTTTGGAATTGAAAAACTCACTAAAGGGAACATCAAAATACACTTGGGAGCAGGCCAGGCATGGTGGCTCACACCTTTAATCACAGCACTTTGGGAGGCCAAGGTGGGTGAATCACCTGAGTTCAGGAGTTCGAGACGAGCCCAGATGACATGACAAAACCTCGTCTCTACTAAAAATACAAAAATTAGCCAAATGTGGTGGCATGCACCTGTAATCCCAGCTACTCCAGAAGGTGAGGCAGGAGAATCACTTGAACCCAGGAAGCAGAGATTGCCGTGAGTCGAGACCATGCCACTACACTCCAGCCTGGGCAACAGAGTGAGACTCCATCTCAAAAACAAAACAAAACAAAACAAAGACAAAAAACAACAACATTTCGAAGCTTTAATAATAAACTACACCAAGCAGAAGACAAGATTTCAGAGCTTGAATACCAGCCTTTTAAATTAACCCAGTTAGACAAAAAGAAAGAATCTGAAAAATGAGCAAAGCCTTTGAGAAATACGGGATTATGTAAAGCAACCAAACCTATGACTTATTGGTATTCTTGATGGAGAAGAGGAAGAAGTAAGAAAATTGGAAAACATATTTGAGGCAATAATTCAGGAAAACTTCCCTAATCTTGCTAGAGAAGTTGACATCCAGATGCAAGAAATTCAGAAAACACCTGCAAGATACAAGATGACCATCCCCAAGGAATATAGGCCATCAGACTATGCAAGGTCAACACCAAAGAAAAAAATCTGAAAGGCATCTAAAGAAAAGGGCCAAATTACCTACAAAGCAAATCCCATCAGACTAATAGATGACTTCTCAGCAGAAACCTTATAAGCAAGAGAGATCAGGGGCCTATTTTTAGCCTCCTTAAAGAAAAAAAAAAAAGCCAGTCAAGAATTTCATAATCTGCCAAACTAAGCTCCATAAATGAAGGAGAAATAGAGTCTTTCCCAGGCAAGCAAACACTAAGGGAATTTGTCACCACCACACCTGCCATACAAGAAATACTCAAAGGAGTTCTAAACATGGAAACCAAAAAACAATACTTGCAACCATATAAGCACACAAAAATACAAAGTTCAGATATCTTATAGAGCAATTATGCAGTTGAGACTAGAAAGCAACTACCTAACAATACTCAAATATCAAATGTATAGGAACAAAACCTCAAATATCAATATTAACCTAGAACATAAATGGCCTAAATGCTCCACTTAAAGGACCCAGAGAGGCAAATTAGATTTTTTAAATGACTCAACCTTCTGCTGAATTCAAGAGACTTATCTCACATGTAATGACAACCACAGGCTCTAAGTGAAGGGATGGAGAAAGATCTAGCATGCAAATAGAAAATTTAAACAGAACAGATGTTGCTACACTTGTATGAGAAGAGACATTAAACCAACAACATCAAAAACAGACAAAGGAGGGCATTATATAATGATAAAGGGTTCAATTCAACCAAAAAATGTAACTATCCTACATAAATATGCACTCAATGTTGGAGCACCCAGGTTCATAAAACAAATACTACTAGACCTACAGAAAAAGATAGCAATACAAGAATAGTGGGGGACTTCAACACCCCACTGACAGCACTAGACAGATCACCACAGCAGAAAACTAACAAAGGTATACTCTGGACTTAAATCAGGCTCTTGACCAAATAGACCTGACAGACATCTGCAGAATATTCCACCCAACAACACAGAATATACATTTTTCACATCTGTACATGGAACATTCTCTAAAATTGACCACATAGTCGTAAGTCATGTCTCAATAAGATAAAAAAAATCAAAATCATATCAAGCATCTTCTGAGGTCATAATGAAATAAAATTAGAAATGAAGAACAAGACGAATTCTCAAAACTACACAGATACATGTAAACTAAATAACTTGCACCTAAATTTTGAATAAACAAAATTAATGCATAAATCAAAAAAAATTGAAACATGAAAATTGAAACACAACATACCAAAACCCCTGGGATAGGCACTTTAATGAATACCAGAACTACATGGACCTGTAATTGAAAGAAGATTCTTAAAGAAAAAACTTCTTGAGATATTAATTTTAAAAGAGAAGTGCCAGCCAGGTGTGGTAGCTAATGCCTGTAATACCAGCACTTTGGAAGGCCGAGGTGGGCAGATTGTCTGAGCTCAGAAGTTCAAGACCCTCCTGGCCAACATGGCGAAGCCCCATCTTTACCAAATACAAAAATCAGCCAGGTGTAGTGGCAGGTGCCTGTAATCCTAGCTACTCAGGAGGCTGAGGCAGACAGAATTGCTCAAACCCAGGAGACGGAGGTTTCAGTGAGCCAAGATCATGCCACTGCCCTCAAGCCAGGGTGACAGAGTGAGACTCCGTCTCAAAAAAAAATTAAAAATTTTTTAAACAGTTTAAAAAGTGCCAGTGTAACACAAGAATTGGTAGAGAGCTTTGGAGCCTCAACCATTCATTTGTGTCTGATGAAGATAGCCAAGAACTGTCTTTGTGGGGAGTAGGATAAGGAGTTGGCATCTCCTATAGGCCTCCCTGAGTCCATTTTGGTATAGAGATGGAGCAGTAATGTATCAATCAGTCTTGGTTAGGTTTCTTCACTCTCATTAGAGGATTTTAACAGTTTGTATGAGTTGATTTTAAAAGTCAATCTATTTGCTTTTCATCAGCAAAATCACTCTGTACTCCAAGATCATGCCAGAGAATGACTCCCTAAGGGCCTCCAGCTCTTATGAAAATCAAAGTTTCGAAAAGTAACATTTTCAGAGGATGGTAGACTAAAGGATATGTAGTTTATTCATCTCTGTAATTTGTCTAGATTTTAACCCTAGATCGAACCAAAACATCACTCATTAAGCTGAATAAATATTTGGACAGTGTTCTTTGTTGTTGTTTTTGACAAGTCCCTCTACTCCTATAAAATTGCTTTTACTGAATTGAGCTTTGTTGTGATGTCCTCTGCTTCTTACTTTCTCTTGGTTTTATGACTAAGATATATTGAGGAAGTTACCTCAGCCTAGCCCTTCATAAGCCCCATGGGAGAAGAGTTCCTCAGACCTTAAGTGCAAGAAAGAGCTTTGACTCTCTAATTAAATGACATATTCTTATTTTATAGACAAGACCTTGCAAGTTTTATGTATATCTGGTCATGTTAATAAATTTACTTCCACTGAAATTATTTTCATTTTTATTTTTACTTTTTAAATCACTTGACATAAATTTGAAATAACACTGTAAAGGATTCACTATTAAAGTATTTTTATTTAATTATACATATTCTCTATGTTTCCAGAGAGATCAACTCAACTACAGCCTCTGTGGGTTCTTGTCTTCTTGAAATAATCAAGTCTTCTTGGAAGTCCCAAAGGGGGTAGCAGGGAAGCATGAGCCACTCAGTAAGAGGGTCTTCCAATTTTAATGTAATGTCACTTCACTTCATCTCCCATGAGCAGAACTTTATTGGCTGGTTGCCTTTGATCAACTTGGGTTCTCATGGTTTTCTTGATCAATGATTCTGGAATTGGAAATTTCTAACATCGCTCTGTGACTGCTCTTTGTCTAGTATCCATTTTTATCCTGTGCCATCTAACCCTAAACTGTGCCATCAACTATACAAGTTGCCTCTACTCTGATCTGACAGATGTGGCAAACAAGAAGAAATGAGTTAATAGAAAAACAAGATTCATAAATCTCAGACCAAAAAAAATCAATCCTAAGATCATATTTTAACTAGATAACTTTTAGAAATCCAAATTGCATTATATTTGTACTTAGGAATTACATTATATTTGTACTTATGAATTTTATTTAGTATGCAAAATACGAAAATGTCATTTAGAAATTACATATACACTGAATTCATTAAGCGATATATCCTAATAAACATGTTCTCTTTTCTCTGGAAATTAACCTTTAGAAAAAGCTACTGTGAAACAGGTAATTCTCAATTACCAGAGTATAAAGATTATTCAAAATAATCTTAAGATTATTCAAAAAATTCTCATTTTCAGGCCACAGAGTACATATACACACTTGCCATCAATGTATGAGTGGAAGGAGAATACATTCTTATATAGTTCAAAAGAGACATTAATAGAAAAATAAATATGCTTTTAAAAACAACTCTTAGGTGAACTAAATTATTTAAGTATTTTATTTCAGATTATTGAAGCTTCTTCATGAAAACAGTCATTCAAGAGTTACTCCCTAATTCATTCTATGAAGCCAGTATTACCCTGATGCCAAAGTCACAGTATAGAAAAACTACAGAACAATATGTTTTATGAATATTGATGCAAACATCCTCAACAAAATATTAACAAACCAAATTCAATAGCATCTTTAAAAGATTATACACCATGGCCATGGGGGAGTTATTCCTGTAATACAAGGATGGTTAAACATATGAAAATCAACTAATGTAAGATACCATATTAACAGGATGTAGGGGAAAATATGATTATCTCAATTAATGTAGAAAAAGTATTTGACAAATTTCAACACTTTCTCATGACAAAACACACAAAACTAGGAACAGAACGAAACTACCTCAACATCACTAAAAGTTGTTTTTATTCAAAACATGTCTAGATTAATCATCTATATCAAGGAAACTGGGCTGATTAAAAAAATTCTCATAAGAAGTACTTACCTGCCAATATTTTCTTGAACTGCCTAAACCATATGTCACAGTGGTCTTCACTTAAATTAATAAGATCAAGTGTAGAATTCTTTAGTTTATTTTGTTCCTTTTTCAAGCAGATGAAGAGTGTGATACCTAATAAAGTACCACTTCTCTGCTGTTTAACAGACCAACGTCGTTTCAGTTTCACAGAGAATATGTCTTTGAGTTCAATAAATTCTTCTTTACATAGAAAGTCATACTTAGAATCACCTGAAAAAAAAATTAAAATTTCCAGTTAATAGAGAGGAACAACAGACACTGGGGCTTACCGGAAGGTAGAAAGTGGGTGAAGGGAGAGGATCAAGAAAAATAAATAACGGGTGCTAGGCTTAATAACTGGGTGATGAAATAATCTGTACAACAAACCCTCAAGACACAAACGTACCTATATAACAAACCTGCATATGTACCCCTGAACCTAAAAGTTAAAAAATAAAATGAATTTTTTATTCATTTTATTTTGAATATTCATTTTATTTTGAAAGAAAAAAAAATTGTGCCTGTATCTAAATAATAGTTAAAACCAAAAAAACTTTTCATTTGTAATTTTATGGATTGCCCTTTATGCCAGTCTCTACATGAGAAGGAAAGGGGATGAAAACAAAACTGGGGTTTATTTTGTCAATAATCGGATTAAAAATAGAATGGAAGAGAGACCCTGCCACACAGGCCTACAACATTCAACATCCGAGGATAGTCAATGTATGAAGAATTCCAAGAACATAAACAAAGCGACATTTTAGTAACAAATTGGTTTCACACAAGGAGCTCTTTGGTACTAAGGATAAAGTAAAGTAACAGAAAAAATAGAATTAACTAATAGAAGTGACTTTATGACAAATTGTTGAAGGCATCCTTAACGAAAAGGAAATATACATTCCCATTATAGTAACACATGCAAAGAGGAAGCAGAAGTACTTGCGAGTAGGAAACATTATAAACTTTGTCAATCAAGGAGGAGATAGCCCCCCGAATTTATCTGTAATCAGACTTAAAAAAAAATAGTGGCATAAAATTTTCATGACGTATCTTTAAACCATAGGTCAGAAAATAATTATTGTGGAAAAGACTATTTCAATTGACTCTCAAGGTAGAAGTGTTTTAGACATTAAAAAAAGACTTCCAAAACTTCTGCCTTGGCCAACATGGGGTAATAAGAAACTAGTTTTACCTTTCACCTAAAACTACAAAAGCACACAAGATATGTGAAACAGTAGTTTTCAGACACTGGACATCAGGTAACACAGGGCAGTGAAGCCGAAGAGGAGGAAAACAAAGTGAACCCTATGACTGCCCCAACCTATTGCCTGCAGAGAGTCTCCAGGTCACAGGGCAGATACGGGAATCCTGGGGGCCTGGTGGTCTCCCTGAGTTAAGGAGAATTGGGGGTTCAGGAAGACTAAGGGAATTAGAGTTCACTGTGCAATTTACTACAGAAGAGAAGCCTGAACAGTGAACACTGTAGATTTGCAGAGGTCCCCTTGAAACTTTAGCTGAAAGTATTGATCAGCAGATGTGTGAAGCCAGGTAAGAACTACTAGAAGAATTAACGGAACAATGCTTAGAGATGACACAGGTGTTCCTACCAGCCGAAGTGGAAAAACATGAAAATTCGTATGATGTTATGGTAAGTATTTAAAAGAGTATTGGTCCTTAGTGAGCCGACTAAAGACTGCTGTGATTCCACCTAACAAAGCTTAAAAGCAAGCCTCTCAAAAGGATGTCACTTTTTCCAGGTAACTACATCCTAGAACAATGCCAAAAAAATATTTACAGAAATTTAAAAAAAAAAAAAATTCAGCAATTCTGCACGGTAAAATTCACAGTATCACTCATCTAATCCAAAATCACTAGACATGCAAAGCAGCAGCAAACATATGAACCAAAATAGGAGAAAAAGTAATCAATAGAAACACATGCAGAAATGACTCGAGTGCTAAAAGTAACAGAAAGCAGAGACCCTCTCTCAGCTTTTTAGCCCTTGAAGTACAAACAATGTTATCCTCCGATTGGAGTGAGGATGTTCATATGCTCACTAAGAAGTTCCTTGTCTGCATTCTCAGGGGCATTTTTGGCCTCTCCCAACTATTCTGCAAGCTATAGTCTGATTGCTCACGAAGCATACATACCACTAAAAACAAAGAAACAATGGAAGGAATGAAAGAAGACAGAAGGCAAGTAAGAGGAAATTAAAATAAAGGAAGAGTGAGAAAGAAAGAGAGCAAAAGAGAAAAAGACATAAGGAAAGGCAAGACAGAGAGAAGGGGACACAGAGAGAGGAGGGGAGACAGGAAGGCAAGAGGAAAAGAAAGGAAAGGAAAAACAGGAAGAAAAGGAAAGAAGGAAGAAAAGGAAAAAAAGGAAGAAAAGGGAGGAAGGGAGGGAGGGAAGGAGGAAGGGAGGAAGGGAGGAAGAGAGGAGGGAGGAAGACACGGAGGAAGGAAGACACGGAGGAAGACAGGGAGGGAAGGGGAGGGGAACAAAGAGGGAGGGGGATGGTCCGGGTGAGGGAGAGGAGGGAGAGCAGGGGGAAAGGAGAGGAGGGAGAGAGAGCAGGGGGAGGGAGGGGAGAGAAGCAGGTGGGAGGTTAGAGGAGAGAGGAGGGAGAGGGAGAGAGAGGAGGAGGGAGAGGAAGAGAGAGGAGGAGGAGAGAGGAGAGAGGAGGAGGGAGAGGATCGAGAGACGGACGGAGGGACGAGGATGAGAGAGGGAGTTTGAGGGAGAGGAGAGAGAGGGAGGGGGAGAGAGAGGAGGGGGGAGGGAGAGGAGGGGAGAGAGGGAGAAGAGAGGATGAGAGAGGAGGGAGGAGAGAGGAGGAGAGGGAGGAGAGGAGAGAGGAGAGGAGAGAGGAGGGAAGAGGTGATTTAGGAGAGAGAGGAGGAGAAGGGAGGAGAGGGAGAGGGACGAGAGAGGGAGGAGAGGGGAGGGAGAGGGGGTGAAGAGAGAGGGGAGGTGAGAGGGAGAGGGGGATAGGAGAG